TCTGCTCCTCTCTGGAACAATCTCTCCTTTCTCTACGTCCCCTCTTCGCCATTTCCCTGAAAAGGACTCTGATTTCTCCACCTCACCTCTCCTCCACTTCTCACCAACAATCTCTCCCTTCTCAATTTCACTTCTTCTGGACTTCTCAGGCACGAATTCACCATTTTCCTCTTCAACTTTGGGCCACTTCAAAGTCCCCAATTCACCCTCTTCCACTTCCTCCTTCTTCTCCTCAGCATTTTCACCATTCTCAGCTTCCTTAGTAGCACTGTTAGCACCTTTATCCAATCCCAGTTCACTTTTTTCGGACTCCTCGTTCTTCGAAGACCCGGGGTTCTTAACAACCTTCTTCTTGGGCTTCATTACCTTCACTATCTTCTTCTTCTTAACCGTCTTGGAATTGAAGCCATTGTTACCGTTCTTGCCTCCGCAAAGCGTAGTCTTCTCCTGAATTGGAAAGGTGTCCATGATATTATGCTGCAAAGGCATGCATGCGACGCCTCCATCGCCCATGGAAATCCCAACCCTCCGCACCCAATCCGAAAACCCTATCTGTCCCCTTCCCCGGGGCTATGGATGCTCATACTGCAATTCGGTTCAACTGGGTCTTCCCCTCCTCAATCCGCGCTCCAATCGAAAACCCTATTTCCAAAAATTCAACAAACAGATCAATACAAACCCAATGTAGGGTTTCAATGTCGAATACAACGCATGCATAAACAAACAAAATATGAAGAAAGACCCAGAATTCCAAAACCTCTGTAATTCAAAACTCTAACCCAGAATGCTTACAAAACAATCGAAATCGAAAGGGGGAAAATACCGAGAAAATTGACGAGCTGAGTGAATAGATCGACGAGAAAATATAGCTTGACGAAGCGAAGGAGCGCGCGAAAGCAAGAGACTTGACGAATACAGATCAATAAACTGCGAGAAATCGAAAGCTCGAAGGCCAATCTCTCTCTGTATCTCCGCGTCCTGTGTCTCTCTCTGTTCGTTCCTCTCTCTCTCGTATGATGTTGTTCTTGGTCTGAAAGACGAAACCTTCGTGGTAGTATTTATTTATTTTTCCCTTTGGGCTTGTACTTTCATTGCGAGAGAAGTGTTGAAATTACCATAATAGCCTTGGGGAGTTTGGTCCACGTGGAAACGGACTCCAGTTAGTAGTTTCAATAGCACAAGAGGTCCACTTGAACTGTGACTCGTCCACATAATGGATAACCTAGCATTCCACGAGATCCGAATCTAAACCTCTCATTTCTATATGAAACGGAATACCACCAAAGTATAATACTGAATGACTGTTTGAAAATTAACTCTATGTTTTCTTGTTTTGATAGATGGCTCATTTGAACTTTTAAATAACTAAAAGTGTTTTTTAATAAAAATATTTTTGGAATCAATCTTTAGTTAAAACACAAGTGAGTCTTGATAAAGCATTTGAAAGTACTTTTGAAATCAAAAATATTTTTTTAAATAATTTTCAATCATTTTAAAAACACTTCAAAACGAACCAAACATCATTGCAAATACAATGTTAACTTCTTGTTAAATATTTGCATTCTAATTCTAAATATATTTATTATAATTTATTCTATTCACGTGCTTCGTTAAGCAAATGAAATCTCTCATTGCCTAGCTTGCTATATCTTTCTTGGAAGTTTTAACGAAAAACTCGCAGTACTATTCACTTTATCGAAAAATCATATTTTTACACTAAAAAGGCAAACATGATACTATTCACTTTACCCTTTATTTTGTCCTTATCGTTAAAACTCAAAGTTTTCAAGTCATTTTCATTAATTATTCTTATATTGAGATGTACAAAGTCACTTTAAGCAAGTTATAAATTGACTTGGTTCAGTATGCTAATAAAACACATAAGAAACAAGGAAAAAGGAAATCAAACTCATCAATTCTTGCACCTTCGACACTGAAGCACACGACAGAAAAAAAAAACATTATAAAAGTAACTTGAGTAAGATCATTTTTTTTGTTGATGTATAACAAAATTAACGTTACAATATTTTTTTTTTAAATAAACTTATAACTCAATTGATTAATAATATTTACGCTGTGCAAGAAAATTAGTTTCCAATAAGTCAGTTGTATTAGCATTCGAGTCGGAACGTATAGATTTGTCCCGAACTACCCTCCTGCACCTTGAAGAATGAAAGATGGTCCAAAAGTAAATCACATGATTAAGCATCTAAAACTACATTAATGAAATCCTCTTTATCAACTAAAAGATGGTGAAAATACATTTTTGTCTTTCATCCCAACGAAAAAAGTAAGAACAGTGACGTAATTTTATAAAGCAAAATTTTGCTTTTTAAAAAAAAAAAAAAACTTCACTTACATGTAAGTTTATCATCTCTAATTTAACAAAAAAATAAAAATAAAAATGAAAAACAACCTCTCTCCCTCCCTCCCTCCCTCCACTTTCGCTCTCACTTGCTTCCTCTCTCCTTCAATTTTAATAACCAAAGTAAAAATTTTCACACACTTCATATGTGGGCATATACTAGTATTGAATAAGAACGACAATGATGCATAAACTGGGGTTTAGCCTAGGTAATAATACGTGTGAAGGGTGTAATTGTCATCGTGGGTGAATGGTAGGGTCCATGTGGGGTAGGGCAAGGTTATTTTGGTAAACGTGGTTTTGGCGCTCAACTGAAGTTGAGCAAAATAATTTTAGGAGGCAGATTGCAAATGTGGAGGGAACTCCCAACTCCCTAGGCGATTGTGTTTGTGGTTCTCAGGCTTTGGAGTTGTACTGTGTTGGGACTCCTTGGACCAAATGCAGATTAGGGCAAATTTGAAGGACTCGTTTCCAAAATATTTGGAACTTCCCAAGTGTCTAAAGCAATTTAAGCCCATCATGACAAACCCACTGTTAACTAGGATGATTTGCACTAACCATACAACGCACTAGATTAGTTATCTCACACGGTCATGTCAAACGAAAACATATCATGACAAACCCACTGTTAACTATGATGATTTTAAATGCAATGAAGAGCACAATTCCAATTTTTGAAGATCTAACTATTGGCACATGTTTTTTTTTTTTGGTCTACTAGTTTCCGCAATCCTCATCTCTGCTACATTTATTTTTTGCACGTATCGATGTTTAACCACTCAACATTACGTGTTACAAAATATTACTAGCCTTATTGTCGTCCTATAAATTTTTCATAGAGCTTTATTGGTCTCTGGTAAAATATAAAATAAACATCATTGGTTACTTGGATCGTGGTGATCAATGAGTGAATATTTGATCAGATTCTTTATTGGGTACTCACAAGGCCCACATACTCGTGCAATTTGACTCTTACCAATAAGTCTCATGGACCCAAAGCTGAACTTTGAGGCTCAGAGCCTCTATCCACCGCAAGATGGGCAGCATGGGCTTCGGATTCCAAGGGGGAAATAGTAGTACCCTTCTTTGCACTACCAGCCACCAGAGAACCATTTGAGTCACGAGCCACAGGTCCCCAGGCCCATGGAACCGGAAAGGAATCATCTCCTAATCCCTTCTATCAAATCTTACCAATCAACAAATTCGACTTTTGAAATTGGATCAAATTTCAAAAACTCGGATTTGTTGATTGGTAGAATTTGATAGAAAGGATCCAGAAATGATCTCTTTCCCATGGAACCATCCTCCTTAGACCATGCCCCATCAAAATTTACTTTAATGATATTAACTGGACGTGAACACCAAAAAGACTGTGTCATCCTCACTCGAAGATAAACCATTAGGACTATTACTAGAGGCTTCCACAAGGGATGAATCCAAAAACTCAAAAGCTGCTTTAGTAGCTCGAGAAGCCGTGTTTCGCTCAAGGCTGCTGGTCGTTGAGACTACAATGGCATCGCGATTTCCAAATTTCCCAGCAAACAAACGAAGCAATAGTATAGACCCTCATCTGGTTTTCCCTACAGGAGGCCAGCCACAACCTTGAGAGCTAGGAACCGCGTGTCAAAACTTGTGATGATTTGGTGGTCAATCCGCTAGTTAAGAGCACTAGCAAACCAAACACCACACGTCCATGGACACAAAAACAGAACACGTTCATCTGATTCGGGGTAAATTTGGAAGGGTAATTGATTCATCTCACATCCAACCTGCACTGCTCTTCCCTCATCAATGGATCAGAGCCATTTGTTTTAGACCTCAATGGCACACATACGTGCTCTTTGACACAAAAAGACACAACATTTTTGTGTCATTTAGAGCAAATAGCATAAATAGGTATTGCGTATATCTGAACTCACAAAAAAACAACAAGAGAAAAGAAAATAAAACCAGTCATGTGGCATTCGATCAGTGGCCTCATTTTTCACATGGGTTGGTATGTAGTAGTCAACCAACTTATGCGGCAATTGATTTAGTGGTGCCATCTATTCATCCACAAATGTAACTAGGGTTTGTTAAGCTGAGATGAGACATTGAGCCATAACACACCATATAGTTACTCCATGATCCATTATGCTGTGGATAATCGAAATTTGAGCTGAATTTAATGCACTATAGAAAAATTGGAGAATGTTTCAAAAGCAAGAAACTCTCTCTTGTAATCATGACATAATTTTGACGACGTTATTCATTCGATAAATACTTATTACGTGTTCAAAAAATATATTATCGATTCAATACTTATCATGGATTTAAAAATGAACCACTTGTATAATACTTCAAAAGTGGTCAGTCTATGATACCAAGGCATTGATGAATTTACGCAAAACAAGAAAAAACCAAACCCAGAAAACAAACTCAACCAAACCACAAATACACAGAAACCCTAGAAAGAGGGATTTACAAAACACCCAAGCAAGGGAAAACCAAACCCTAGCTAGATGCCTAGCTTATATCTTTGTTGAATCTTATTGCCATGAAATATAAAACAGCATTCCGACATATTTGGACCCTTTTTCTAGTAAAACTGTAAAATCTTAAAGCAATCAATTAAAAAAATTACTGATTCGTCAAGTTTAGACAATAATATAATCTTTGGCTATATAGATCTTTAAGTAATCGCAAGCATTGAAAATACAGATGGTTCTAAAGAAAATTAAATCCATCGTTCTTCTGTACCGATACGGTACATATCTAACTCCGATAATACATAGTTACATCAACAAAAAGCACTTAAAAACAGAACACATCGTCAAAACATGAACGGCGTTGCTGAGAACGCTGCAGGTACCATGGTCGGCCCGTCGTTTCTCCTGAAAATATTGGTAGAAATGAACAAATTAAAATTCCATAAATGAAATATATATGTGTGTATATATACACACACACATACAACCTAAAAAAATCAAACACTAATCCTGTGATAATATAATTACCTCGAGTAGTACTGAAAATCATCGCTAGTAGTATAACTGAAACTTGGAGCTTTGGCCCTTGGCCATCGACCTTTGGCTGATGTCATCTTCTTAGATTGAACGTTACCCTCATGACCAGAAACAACCCCATCCTCTGAGATTGCAACAAGAGCTGGCTTCCATTGATGACCTCTTCCAGATTTGGAGCTTCTCTCATGGGTTGATCTCGTCACATGATTTTGGGTTCGCGTCGACGATGAACGGTAACACGAACCCAACTCCAAGAGGAACTTCATAATTCTGGTTTGTTTCGGATCAGTTTAATTTGTCAGGTGTTGTAGAATTAGCGTGGGATGGAGGTACTCGTAAAGGTGTGACATTTGATCTGTTTCTTTCGCTAGTATTTATAGAGAGAGATAGGGTTAGGATTTTTTATGCTGACGTGTAGTGTCTCTATTTTTGAAATCTAAATGGATATGTTACTGTGTTGATTTATCCTTATCTTATCATCGTAATCCGAAGGGGTCTAATACGTTTGGTTTGCCTAATCCAATTGTTACACCTTCCACAGGTACTGTGCACCTCTTGATTACTACTTATTACGATGTGTGTTAATTATCGTAGCATACTATATTACCTATGGTAGTATGGTTATTAGTTAGGATAATTACTATGTTAGGTTATATACATGTGGCCAGGATATTGGATGGAGCCCGAATATGTTCGAATTTCAGTTTTTAACAAAATTTTATACGATAAGGAAATTTAATATTATTAAGAAATTCTAAAATAACTGAATTTTTGTTTTTAAGAATTTGTAAATTTTCTTGTTTGGTTGATCTAAAAGAATAATGGAATTTGAATACGAAATTAGTGTTTGTATAGAGTCATTAACATATAAATGAAGATAGTAGTTAGGAAAATGTGTCAGTAGTGGTGGCGGCTATGGGTGGTAGCGGTGTCAGTGATAGCGATGAGTTGTGGGGCCCACAACGGTATGCGGTCGTGGCGGCAGCTGTGATAGTGATGATGATGGTGGTGGTGGTGGTCACTCATGGTAAGTTTTTTTTATATTTTTTTATTTTTAAACTCTCATTCATAGAAATTTGTAAATGACACATATTTATATAGAATTTAAACTTGAGAATTGGAGGTCCTAGATTCTTTCTTGTCACATCCCAGCCTGGGGCGGATCACTTCCCGGGCTCGCTCCACCGCCGTAGCACGATATTGTCCGCTTTGGGCTTACCATTCCCTCACGGTTTTGTTTTTGGGAACTCACGAGCAACTTCCCAGTGGGTCACCCATCATGGGATTGCTCTAGCCCCCTTCTCGCTTAACTTCGGAGTTCCTACGGAACCCGAAGCTAGTGAGCTCCCAAAAGGCCTCGTGCTAGGTAGGGATGGGAATATACATTTAAGGATCACTCCCCTGAGCGATGTGGGATGTCACATTTCTTCTTTTTTTTTTCATTCAAAAATTTTAAATTTCTATATTTATGAATCCAGAGAAATTGATGCATATTAATTTAAATTCTAATTTTTTACTAAATTCCAAATTTAATATTTTGGTAATCTTTTTTATTTATTATTGTAGTCTAGTACGAATCTTCGTGAAAGTTTGACAAGATTTTGGAGTCTTGAAGATGTGTAATCTCTAGCATAACATCGACAAAAAAATACTTAATAAGAAGAGTCTATGATATCGTTTGTAGGCTAAATTATTAGTTGTTCGAAGGAATGGAGATCAGTGGAAATTTAACTTGATTATATATTACTTTCATTTTGGTTTTTATATCTTCCAAACATTTTATTTCAATATTTCCTCCATGATTATAGTGAAAACTATATAAAATTTGGATTAATTTCCAATTTTCCTCCATTACAAGGAATATTCTCTTGACTGCTGTGTCAATTTTATGACTCTAAGTGGAATGTCATGTAATCAAATTTGAAGATATATGTCAATTCTATGTGAATAGACATATGAGAAAATGTGATGTCAAATAGTTTTTTAATTATTTGATTGTGTGAGTCCCATTAATGCACTAATTATAGATTTTGAAATTTTATTTTAATTGATTTCTTTTCAAAAATGGGTCTTGCAAATATCGTTTATAAAAAAAACATATAAGTTGAAGGAAGAAAAAAATCTGACTTTACCAAGTTAGCTATCAAATTAATAATTGATATTTATCTTTTGATATCTCCATCAGAGATGATGTTAGAGTTATTAATTAGTTAGCCTCATTGGTGACCACCTACCCAAATTGAGAAAAATTGGTGTTGGGCCCCTATCTGCACATTGGAGTCTTATTGGTCTATCAATTAGTTGGCATGGGCCTAATAGATTTAAGGCCGAACATAGTGCTACAAGAAGAAAGAAGTACATATGAAAAATAAATGAGTAAAATGCCGCACTATCGAGGGAAGCACCGACACTTCTCCACCACAACAATGGCAGTTCATGCGCCCTTTCCCAGATATTTTATTCCCAACAACAATCAGAGCCTCAGGGAAAAACGAATAGGAAAAAATTGTCCTTCCCAACCTCCAAATCTCCTGACTAATGGGGATGCCTGTAATGGTGTTGGCTTAATTGTCGAGCTTAAATATGAGGATGAGTGCATGTGCGCTTAAATATGTCGTCTGTCTGTTCAATTCAAAGACTTCATATAGTAACGTAATAGATGGGAATTAGGCCAACTGATTAAGGTAGTATGCATGTTTTATTGTATTCAAGTTTGAATCACATTCAACTTCATTTGTAAGTAAGAGGTCTTAAGTTCGATTATCGTAATAGGTAAATTTGAATCACATTATTATTAGCTTATTGTGAGACTAAACTTTCACCCTCCGCCTATTGAAAAACTCTTTAATCGATCGATGGAAAATTAGAATATTGCAGTTGTTTAAAGAATAATGGAAGAACTAAAAATCCTGAGGATCATATGATCATCAGAAGTGGAATATAGTGGGAAAAGATAGCTCAATTACCCCACTTTGTATCCCCAATGATTGCTTGGATTAGGAGCATCAAATTCCCTCCCTTAAGAAAAAATTTCAAAGCACAACTCCTTCATGTGAAAGAGAGAGATTCATAAAATAAATGTGTATTAATTCAAATGGTAACTACAATGGAAATGTCATCATTTCATAGAGTAATGGGGTTTCAACGGTCCACTACCATATTGTTCTCAACTTAATTTAGGTGCTGAGCACTTGCATAATAATGTGGATTCAATCTGTCGGTGGCTAATCTAACATCTAATCTGACAAAATATATCGTTTATCCAAAAAAAAAAAATTACTTGCTAACTCAACATGTGTAGGGTTATCACATAAGTTATCAGTATGGATCTAGATCATTGGAACAATTTGAACAATTAGAGTTAGTTTGGGTCGAGTTCCGCTCTAATGTCATGAAACAATTTGAGGCACACTGTAAAACCAATTGGCAATATATGGGCTAATCTACTCCTTATAACACTCGTAAAAGTACCCTTATTATTTTACGTGGGATTCATAATTTCACACCTCAAACAAGAAAAACCTATTATTCAAGACACTACTGTATATATATAAGCTAGATTGGTTGGTAGGGTGAAAATCACTATGCTTAGATGAGTTTATATTTCACATAAATTAAGTAAGCAGAATTGCCTAATTGTTTTGACGTGGCATAAATGTCGTCTCACCCTACTGATTAGAGGGCACATACATTTCCATCTTCTTCAATCGTTCCACTACAAACATAACAGAGTTCGAGAGTTCTCGGTATTGCTTTTCTTCATGGTTCTCATCGCATGCATGTCTGGATTTGGGGTTGGATAACCTGCAAATTCCGTATATACAATACTGTGATCTCTAAGCACTATGTTCTCCACAGGTGATCTATAAGTTGAATATTGATCTTGGAGAAACTTTTGACAATATAGTTAAACTATATTCCGTGAACTTAAAAATTATAATATAACAATATATACATGTTATAACATGAATGAGTCGATAACGTACTAGGTGATAATAGAATCGTCTTTAATTCCTTAATCAGTTTAAACTTTTAATTAGTTTCCGCATGATATCAATTAAAGTAAAAAAAATTCTGCATGATGGACTCATGGAGAGTCGAGGCGTCCATTACACATAATACAATTCCCTTTACCCTAGCCTGTAAGGGAATTATGTAAAATCTAAACCACAAGATTTTCGTCGGATTGTCAAAGTAAAGTGAGAGTGACTTGTCTCTTATAACTGTACAGCAACCTGCAGTCCAGGCAAAGCCCCAGCTGTACAGCTCTTTCAGCAACAAATTATTCCGGATAAAAATATGTATCTGATTTTTATGAATCATCCTCGATGGTTCAAATCAGAATCGAAGTAACTGCATTGTTTTATTTTTGTAGTTTTCCTACCGTCTAAATGCATGAAGAATATATATAATTGTCTCAGAGCCAATAATAGTAATACGAATGTACTATATCATAATTAGTATTGTTCTATATGAACATTACTTGGCTACTTAAAGATGAGTAAAAACTCCTACTCAAAACTCTTAGTATTTGAATTACAAAGTTTTGTGCATATAATCAAAACCGTTCATATTATCAATTATACTGTAAAGATCATCTATGCAAAATATGAATTAAAACTAAGGTCGTTGAGTCAATCTATTCTAGCAAATACATAGATTATGACTGAATTTCTTTGGTTGCCCTAGCATCGGTAGCACGCGCGACCAGCAGGCAACTGAGTTGTGGATATCAATCTAATATGCAAATTAAGTCAATTAATCCAATGCCAAATACAAATAACGGGGGGTGTGAATCAATTTACTTACACAGCTTTAACCATGCATGCATGCAATTATCTGTAATTATGTATCACTCTTCTCTTCTGTGCTCATACGTGATTTTGATAACCTTCACATCTTCTACCCATGAAAATGATTGCTGACCAACCAAAAAAAAAAAAAAACCCATGAAAAAGCTTTGCATTGTGTCTTGATGGTTTGGGGTTCATTTGTAATGTGCACGTACGTAGGTGGAATGTATATCTACTGATGTAACTTCTTCTGCGTTTAGTGAATAAAGCACCCCTTCAAAAAAAATATAAGGATACTTTGGATACGGTCCCTAATCTTTAACATTCTTTGATTAAAACCTTAATAGTATTCAAAGTTTGATCAAGGTCCTTTGACTTTGTACACCTCATTATATTACTATTAATATTTATATTTTTATAGTTTTGACATTAATTGTTTGATATTTTATGAGATTTATAATCCTATAAATTTAAAATCCCTCATTATAATACTATTAGAAACGGTTACAATAAAAAAAAATTCAAACATTTTGATTGAATAAATGCATAAAAACTATGT